TATATATATATATATATATATATATATATATATATATATATATATATATATATATATATATATATATCAATTATCAACAAAATATCAACAACTTTATTCATATTGTCGTATCACCCTTATAGTGACATCAACATAGCCAACATAATCAACTTCGTCATATCATGGAGTATTATCTATCATTTATGGTAACTAACAACAACATTACGACAACAGGAACAAAATCATTATAACATCAACTTAACAGTATAACTCAACAAATATACACACAACTCACCATCAACCAACAACCACAATAATATCCTTATAAAATCAGCAATTTTTTTAACGAGAAAACACAGTACCCTGGCACATAATTCCGATATCAACAATCCACCAAATCAAACATGTAGATCAAGACATATCATTCCCATAGGCTTCTGATATTTAGTCCTTCACTTCTAACAAGTCGTACAAGCATAGCAACTGCGCCACATCATGCTTCAGTCGCATAACTCTGATCATCCATCTTAAGTCACTGTCCTCATTATAATTTATGTCAACTATATGGTTTACAAGTTTCAACCTAGTTTCAGACTTTCTTTAACATCCACCATAAAAGCGTTGTTCACTTGATATTCTCAATCTTTCACTTTGCAACGTTAGCTCGCATATAAACCCGCTACTCCGAATTGTTCTATACGTCTCAACTCTTTCCTAGCCACTCCTCTATTACTTTACACAAACTGGTGAGAGACTATCCTCACGATATAACATCAATCACTTTACACATCGTTAAGATATCAAGACAAGTCTATACCATCCAACATGATCTCGTCTACTATCAACAAGAGGTTAAGGATGATCAGTTCCTCAATTTGTCAATAGATAGCCGACAACCATAATGGAGTATAAACCATCGTTACTAAACCATATTAGTGTTCCTTTAGAACTTGTACTCAAGTCACCTAAAGCACTATAATCCAATAATCTCCAATGAGGTTTACAAATACTCCCATAATTTCTCTCTCATTCGATCTTGTCGATGAGACACCAACGCTCAACATATTACATGATCCATATTACACTCAATTAGCCTCACACGAAGGTTAAGTATTCTCCAACATAAGAATTACTACCATACCAGTACACTACACATCGTCTCGTCCCAATTAAAATCTCAACAATGTCGTCCCACACCGTATTGGTGATAGAACCTCCCCAATTCTTCTGTTACACATGCCACTACCTTGGCATCATAAACACGACTATAATTCCTCTTAAAAGCATCTTCCTTTAAAAGGACATCTTCATTATAGTCATAGTTAATCATCATAAGTTGCATCTCTATGCGCTTCTCCAATACTTTCACATCCTTTTTAATACTGAACATCTCATTTCTCAACTTATTCTCCAATAATATATTACGCTTGACCTCGTCTCGAACAACTGCAATAATAACCATTTATACCCAAAAAGCCGCTAGTTCTGTACGCGACTTCAGAATCCCTCCAAATAGGAATGTATCTACCATATTTGAAAACCATTTAATATGATATAATATATTTCTATCTCCTCATAGGTTCAAACGGAACACAAATCCTATACTCAGAACACAAGATATGAATTTCTAAAGTTATCCGAAAATACGAACACCGACGTCATGCAACGACATACTAATACACACCTTACAATAACATCAGAATAAAGTTTCTTTGTACCAGTACCAACACTTACCATTCTTGAAATCGTACTCATCTCCTCGCATTTTTGACTCCAAATCGCGATTTAAAACATTCCAACAACTTCAACAACCTTTTCAATCACTCACAAGGATCCCACGATAAGGTCTACAACAATTTGTCACTTTATCACAGTTTGAACGTCGACATCTTACACAAAGGCTACTCAAACCGACAACTTCGCACTCCACCAGCAACTTTGAAACATTGCAACTTTCTAAATTTCCATCTTCTAAAAAGTATCCTTGTTACTTAACAATCACCTTCATAAACATCATAGATTTACACTCTACTCGTATATCAACAATCGTTACATTGCTCCTCATCCTTCAAGAAGTAAACATCAACAATGTCTGATCATCCTCCCTCAAGACGCTTCAACTTGATTAACAAACAAAATCTTGAATCCATGTCATCTTCGGATTCAAGAAACAACAAAACTTCAACAATAGTTGCATTGTCGCCATCAACACATACTGAACTAACATCTTACAACCGAAACATATCCAAGAAGCAAAGCTTCTCCCCCACTTATCTTCAAACCAACTCCTGCATACAATCGATTGGAAAAAAAATTACCGACAGTGTGTCGCACACATGTCACATACTAAGAAACAACACATCGACAGTATTCAACTGTCACACTACTCTACTGACTCAACAACTTGGTCAGACAGACCGACCTCCTGTGATACCAACTTTATAACACTCCAATTCTACCTGACAATTATTATAAAATCAGAGTTATAAAAATTCAACAACTAAATCAAGATGCTACAATTTCAACTTAAAACAACAACATTCATTACAGATACATAACACATTAACTTGGATGAACCAACAAGAACATAAGTTAATCTTTTTAAAATCAACAACGTTCATAACTTCGCAACGGAATCAAATATTCAACTTTAAAGAATATATCATCTTCGTCCAACTGAAACGACTTCAAATAACAAGTATTTAACGAACAACAACTTAAGGTTCAATCAACTAAAATAATAAAAATAAAACAGCAAGCATTCATCCCCCCGAGTGTTACGTATCAGAGCAATGACACCGACTCGAACTACTGAAAGTAAACTGCCTTCAATTTGGATTACATGCACGTTACCAACATCAGAGTAACATTCAAATAGAAGGGGCAAGATATCAAACAATATAATCATATGTATGATAATATTACATTAGAATTAGTCTATGCCAAATCACCACTTCATGACTTTAAACAACGTCAATCACAATAAAAACATCATCGAAACATAATAAATAATTTACCAACACAATAACTCAATATACAACGTGAAATGCAATTTGTTACTATGCACGTGAATGGGGTACCAGCGGAGCAGAACTCCCAACTTAAAAATAGAGCAGAACTCCCAACTTAGGAACGGAGCAGAACTCTCAACTTAGAAATTGCCAATTAATAGAGGCATCAACAAGGCACAAGCCTTCAACTTAATATTTTGCCAATCTAGTCCAACTTAATGATCATCAGCTCCAACTTGGTATGCGATGTATGCGACAACATGATTAAACGCAACAACAACAACAACAACATAACAACGTTGGCATAAGCCTATAACTTAATAATAATTCAACACTGACCATAGGCCTACAACTTCATATTTCAATAACAACAATTAACACAACATTGGCATAAGCCTACAACTTAGTACGTCACAACAATAATAACATATCAACAATAGTAATTTGACAACAACATCAACAAGAAAACAACATTGGCCATAAGCCTAACAATTCAATACCACCTGCAATTCATATTTTTCAGCAAAGTATTCAACACACCGTATCAACTAAAATATACAATAATTGTTCCGTATAGTTGTTCGGACAAATCGACTAAATCCTGCTAATTACTTATCAGCTAAAAGTTCTATTATTTCTACTTTATACTAATATTCCTTATTAGTTTTCTGACAACTTAATTCTACACTGCTATTCAATTCTGCTATATACATATACCAACTCCATTAAATTAACTCTGCTATAATTAATTCTCTGCTACTGCTGCTAAAGTATCCAACTAATTAGCTCTGTTAAATATCAAATCTACGATTCTCATACTAACCTTCTCTGCTATAAACCAATTCTGCTATATATTAATACTCTATTATTTACTGCTACTAAAATAACTCTACTAAATTTACTACTCTGCTAATTAATTTACTGATATAAAAATATTTTGCTATTCTGCTAAATATATAAGTTCTGTAACTTCTTCACTTTCTGTTACTAGTAAATAGCCTCTGCTATTATTCATCCTTTTCCAACTATGCTACATCCAATTCTGTAACAAAATATTAAAGGAACAAACACACAGTAAAACAATTAAAGAATTAATGGTTAAGGGTAATGCCCCTCGACATGTGCAATCGTGCCCCTCGGGACAGAACATAGTGTCGGTCGGCACCCCATCACCATCACACTTGTGCCGCTCGGCGCAAGTCCATAATTCAATTCCAGTTTCCTACGATCAGTAATTCCTTCTCTGCCCAAATCTCAGGCCAACACAACAATTATGCCAACATCAATATATGGTAATTTCCAACACTCGATTCATCGATTGAATCACTGCAACGTTAGCACAATTATCACAAATATCAAATAACATTTTATTCATACAACCATCACATACAGTAACAATTTCACACAATCCAATTCCCACGTAACATGCATCATATACCCAATTATAGAGTCAGAACCCCACTCTTACCTTGGATTGGAGGTTACCCCGCTTTGCCTCTTTTCTTCTTTTGTTCGACAACTTCTACGTTCTCTTTCTTTCTTCCAACCCTTATTCCTCTTCTTCTTGACAAAAACCTTTTTTTCCTTACTGTCACATCTAATTTCTATTATTATAACTAAACTCAATAATAATAAAATTATTTCTATTGGACTTAATTCTCACACCCTTAGTACTACATACCACCATATAAAATAGGCCCAACAACTTAATCTTATATTATTCCATTAATTTCAACATTATTATTATTATTATTATTAATCAACCAATTAATTAATTAATAATTATCTTAACAACTTATACCTGCTATTAAATCCCCTTAGTACTGTCACTTTTGTGTTTTGATTTTTTGAATTATAGGATAAAATGATGATAGAGTTTCATTCACATGGTATTACCATTCAAGAGATTGAAAACGTTCTTCATAGAATTCCAATCCATGACAGAATCATACCCGCTATTAAATCCGCAATGCTTTAGGGTGTGATTTGAGGATTGTGAGTGATGCAAATATGTTTTACATCGAAACTATTTTGAAGCATTTGGGAATAAAGGAATGCTTTTCAGAGATTAATCCCTGCCCTCCAAACATGTGCAAGGGTTTAATCATTGATAGAATTCCAAATACAGTTTGTGAAGTGGCCAACAAGAGGTTCATCTACCTTGGTGATGGTACTGGTGATTACTGTCCTAGTTTGAGGTTTAGAGAAAGAGACTTTGTGATGCCAAGGAAAAATTTTCCAGTTTGGGATTTGATATGCCAAGATCCTTCACTTGTTAAGGCTGAAATTCATGCTTGGAGTGATGGAGAAGAGTTGGAACAAGTTTTGATGAAGTTGGTTAACAAAACTACGATGGATGAACATGCTCGACTCATTGCATCTGATTGCAAGCCACAAACTCTTCCCATTCATGTACTTGATTCCTTGCCTAATTGTGGCCATAAATTATTAGTTTAGAATCATTGCAAATCTGTCTTAAAGTAATTGTAGGTTTTTTGTATTTCTTCTTTTGATGAAAGTTTATCAACCAATTGTTACATTACATTCATGTTACGCAGATCATTAAGAAACTATTATTAATTTTAATGGATCTTAGAATATATTATTCTCACAAACATAAAGACATTAAGATGTGTATTTTGTTCCATGAAAATGATTAAAGATTATTGTAATCCTTCGAGACTCAATCTATTTATTTTTGATTCGTACTTCCTCTAAACCCTTTCTTAATGGCTATTTGATAGAGAAATTTTTATGGAAGGATGAGAACCCTTTGTCAAATAATGTGTCATGACTCCTATTACGTCACAAGTATTTATATATGTTATTCATACTTAGTATGTGCCGGCCAAAAACCCAAATAGTCGAGGTTCAATTCATCTCAAATTCACTTCATTTGATCCAACGTATAAAGTCATTTCACGCGGAAAACAAAATACATTCTTATGATTTCCGCTTTTCACTATATTCTTCTTGAATCTTGAACTAACTTAGACGTTAAAGTGTCAATCTTGTAGATCCGCCTCCACGCCACCGTACCGAAGATCACCAACACCTATTCAATATTCCTCTCCAACCAATTACTTAAAATTATAGTTCCAAAACAAAACACCGATGTCGTATGTGAGATCAATCTCAAACTGAAATCACTACTAAATCAATCTCAACCTAAAATCAGATCTCTACCGGAATCAGAAGGAGTGAAAGCGGTAACTATGATAGTCACACATAAGAGATCCATTTCATCCTTCAAATCAATTGTTCACTAGTTGTCACCGATAAGTGAATGCCACGATGTCTTGACATCCATCACATGTCTTTCACCAGATTTCCTTTTACTCATGACAGACACTAACGTTCAGCAAAGCAGAGATCAATTTGAGTTAGGATTTCGCGAAAAGATTAACGAAATTCCAAACTTTGATTTGTTGTCGATTCTCACATTCGCCATTTCTGAACGAATCCTGACATGATTCCTCGTGAAGTTCTTGTGACATCCTGACATCCATATAGCGGGGGATGTATGTTAGCCTTCAATGATTTGATAACTCATCTTTAGAGAATGATATATATATATATATATATATATATATATATATATATATATATATATATATATATATATATATATATATATATATATATATATATATATATATATATATATATATATATATATATATATATATATATATATATATATATATATATATATATATATATATATATATATATATATATATATATATATATATATATATATATATATATATATATATATATATATATATATATATATGAGACAGGATCCATTGACACCAAGTGTAAGTCTAAAAGACTTACACTAAATCTCAACCGTTAAAAGTACTTGATCAAACAGTTATATAAATAGCATGTTTTTTTAGAGAAAGAATAGGTCATATATTTTATTTATTTCATTTAATATGATCATTTTATCAAGTGCTTTTAACAGTTGAGATTTGGTGTAAGTCTTTTAGACTTACACTTGGTGTCAATGGATCCTGTCTCATATATATATATATATATATATATATATATATATATATATATATATATATATATATATATATATATATATATATATATATATATATATATATATATATATATATATATATATATATATATATATATATATATATATATATATATATATATATATATATATATATATATATATATATATATATATATATATATATATATATATATATATATATATATATATATATATATATATATATATATATATATATATATATATATATAATACAATTGGAGAAGGAATGTGCGTGAAAAAGGTAATTCTCAAATTCCTTATAATATCGTCTAAGAGTGTGTGATCGGTGGATCTGGAACTGACTGTTTTAAAGCTGGTTCGCGAAATGTCGCGGTAAGCAAGAGTCGCCACCGTCTTTTATTTTCTCCAATAGGAAAGGACAAAAGCACAGAAAAATTCCTTTAAAGAGATTGCTCTCGGTTCGGGAGGTAGGTTATAGAAAGGGAAGGTGTTAGCACCCTTTCTATCCATGGTTATCCATGGGCTCTTAGGTACTTGCTCAATGTGTTTTCAAAATTGTTTGTTTGCTTTTCAATGTGGGTTTCAAAAATATTCTTTGAAAAGTTTCAATTCAACTCGTACGTCAGAGTGTTTGAAAAGTTTGTTTGGAAAGTTTTTGAAAGGTGTTGGTGAAAAGATGTTTTGATTTTGTTTTGAAATTAGAGCAAGTACCCTTGAGAACCTACCTACCCTAAGGAATTCGTCTGTGTAAATGTCCTTTAAAGTAGTGCCATCCCACCATTGAGAGGTAGGTAGCACCACCGTTGGAGGTGTTCGGGTCAATTCGATTTGAGGGACATGGTGATCACCGGAGCAATGGGAAGACACCTTAGAAGCTACCCTCATGCCAGGTTCCCGGATCATGAGGACTTACTAAGACGTTTTCTACTCGACGACCACCTTTCGAAAGGCAACAGTGAGGTGTACCTAGGGGTGGTGTGTGCGAATTGTGTGTCATTTTCAGTTTATTGTTTGTCTTGTCATGCATTGGTGATCTAACGATTTGATTTTATTTTTGGGCATTCATTCTTTCATGCATATTTATTAACAGCTATATACTTGCGAGAAAAATAAATCTAGACTATTACAACCGGCGCGGGTCCACATCGCCAAAAAAACCGAACCCGATTTGACTGAAAGTAAATAAAGCGAATAAATAAAGTGCAAGAAATAAATCTAAACTTATTACAAGGCTTTGGGGCATATACAGAGGTATTTAAACAATATAAGACAAATGCGCGAAATAAAAAGATTAAACAAAATTAGGGCGTTGGACCCTTTTACAAATAATTAAAAATTAATCAAGGAAATTAAAAATTAAATGAAAAATAATGTTTTTGTGTTTTTTAGATTTGAAAGAAAAAAAAGAAAAGTCAATTAAAATTAAAATCCTAGTTCTAACGTTTTTTAAGTTTATTATGAAAAAAAGATTTAATTTCTAGCCTAATTAAATTCTAAACTAATTTATATACAATTTTTGATTTATAGAAAATAAATAATAAATAATAATATAGTGAGGAAAAAAGGAAAAAAATTAAAAAGGTTATGAAAAATTAATAATTGACCTAATTCTACATTTTTTGGATTTTTTATTATGAAAAAAGAATTAAAATTAAAATTAAAACCTAATTAAGCTAAATGAGTTACATTTTAATTTATTTAAAAAAAGAATCAAAATTAATTATATATTTTTTGTCCTTTCTGTATTTTTTAATGTTTTTGCATTTTTGTAAGAATTAATTAAATAAGAAAATAAAACACAAGTAAATTAAAAAATAATAAAATATAAAGAAATTTAGAAAAGAAAGAAAAAAGATAGAACCAGGGGGTGTGGATTTGAATTTGGAGGTGCAAGCCTGAAAAGCATGGCCCAATTGCTGGCCATTTGTTGACTTTTTCCATTCAAGTGTGCGCCTGCTGACTTGCATCCATCCTATGCCTTTATTCTGGACCCTTGGATGATCATCTGGGACACGTGGATGAACTGACTTTGCAGTGCATGGTGAGTCCTTATGTGAGCGCTGCATGGAACCTTGAAAGGAAAAATAATATGAGAAATTGCAAGACCTGGGACTTGAACCCAGGTCTTTGAGGTTAACACGCTTATCCCTTGCCACTGAGCCAGTTATATTTCAATTAACATATAATAGTCAACAAATAATAAAAAGAATAATCAATGCATAGTGGTCAAACGCGCGCGCGAATTCAAATTGCCCAGTCTCCGTGTGACAACTCATCGTCTCTTTCATTCTTTCTGAAACATGAAGGACAAAGGCAACGTTTTTTGATCGTTGTCTTAGGGCGCCTAATAGAAAATAGCGACTAGCCCCTCGTCGCTCATAAATTGAGCGCGAGGGGGCCATCTTCTTCGTCTGGATGAGCTGAGCATGATGATGGTACTGGCATGGTCCAATTTTTTCCCTAGTGAGAACCCCCAATTTGAAGCAACCTGTAACCCTAAAAAACGCACATGGTGGATTCTTGTATACAGCAAAATAATGTAATTAAACGTTGTGGTCAGCTTAGAAATAGCAATATGAACATGAATCAACAAAGAAAAATGCAAAAGGATGATGGAATCATGCTATACGATTTCAAAAGTTTCAAGGTTCAGTTTTGATTCTAACTACCAATTCTTGAGGTTTTAGATGATGTTAATGATTGGCACGCGTTCAGAATTGTCTCAGGAAGCTATTGGTACAAAAATTATGGCTTGAGAAGATCCCTAGCTTTGAAATCAGATTTGCATTTTATGGTTCATTTTTTCAAATTGCCAATGGCCTTTTCAGCGAGCTTTTGGCTATGTTCTAGGTAGGGTTGGACTCAGTGATCATCATAGAATTGAATAGGCTTGCTAACTCTCCTTAATTCATGCTTGTTAGAGAATTGGCCTTAGGGTTTGTTCATTAACCATTTTTTCCTAATTTCTAGCCAAAACCTAGACCTAGTGTGTAAATGAACCTTGGCCTGATTTTTGAGTTGGTTCATGATACATAGAACTTGTCCAAGTTCATATGACACCATTTCATTGATTTTTAAATTTTATTTGAATTTTCAATGAATTAAAATGAATTAAATCATCAAAAATTAAATAAAATAAAAAAGTCAACATTTGGTCTTGAAATCAACCATGGGCCACGTGTGTGGCATGACAAGGATGGACAAAGTGAGAAAAATGGGGCCCTTTTGTCAAAATTGGATTTTCAAGGATAGTTGACTTTTGCCATTTCACAAAAATTTCCCAACTTCTACAAGGCATAACTTGCTCAATTTTTAAGATTTTCACATGTTCTTGGACATTTTGGAAAGGTCTTTGAGTCCTTTAACCAATGCCTTTGGTCCCATGTCATTTTGATTTACCAATCTCAAGTTATGG